AACTGGTCTGAGTCTATCTTGAAGAATCCTGGAATTTGTAGTTTGCTGAAGTGTTAGAGTGCTCTAGACCTAAACCAATGTCTGTCAGCTATGATGCCCTAGATGAAGATGAACAAATTGAAATTGAATCCTGACAAGACAGAGGTACTCCTGGTCAGGCACAGGGCAAATCAGGGTATACGGTTGTAACCTGTGCTGGATGGGGTCACAATCCCCCTTAACACATAGGTCCATAATTTGGGGGTTCTCCTGGACTCAGCAATGACTTTGGAGGCCTGGGTGTCAGCAGTGGCATAGAGGGCCTTTGTACAGCTAAGGCTCGTGTGCCATCTGTACCCATACCTTGAAAAGCCTGATCTGGCTAAGATGGTACATGCCTTAATCACATCTAGATTAGACTACTACAATGTGCTCTACTTGGGGCTGCCCCAGAAGAGTGTTCAGAAATTCCAACTGGTGCAAAGGTCAGCTGCCAGACTGCTCACAGGAGCCAGCTACAGAAGAACTCCCCCACTCCTAAAACAACTGCCCTGGCTATCAGTTTGTTTCTGGGCACAATTCAAGGTGCTGGCCTTAGTCTATAAATCCCTAAATGATTTAAGCTCAACTTACTTAGCGGAGCCCTGAGAGCATCAGAAGAGGCCCTGCTCTCAGTACCACAATTGTCGCAAGTGTGATTGGTGGAAATGAGAGAGAGATCCTTTTGGTGTTGGCCCTGTGGCTCTGGAACTCCCTCCCTAAAGAGGTTAGAGAAGCCCCCTTGCTACTTTCTTTTTGGAAGCAAATAAAATTCTATCTTTGGAAGGAGGCCTTCTCCGAAGAAGATCAGTAGGAAAATACCTATCTTTGATGTGCAATGTGTAATTTATATACAGCAGACTTGGTAATTGTGTGCTTATGGCTCATAGGAAATTAATTTTTTTATATGAGGCTTTTAACTAGAATGTTAAATTATGCTTTTTATGCTATTTGTGATATGGGGGATGGGGATGTGATTTTACATATGTTGGGGTTTATGATTGTATTTTATGCTATGTATTCTGTCTTTTGTTTTTTTATTTAGATTTTTATTAGGTACTTTTCCATTTATACAAATACATAACCAAAAAAGATTGGGGGGGATATTCGGAAAGGGGGGAGGTAAGGGAAAAGAGGAGACATGACTGTAGGGAAGGGGACAGGTGTTTGCCTATACTAGGAAAATCACCTTGGGTCAGAGTGGGGTGGAAACTAAGGGGTGGGAGGTGGGGGATAAGGGGAGGAGTGATGGGTGGGTAGGGATCTTGACTTCCCAATCTACTTGACCATGTACTCCCAAACGGCCAAATAAAGCTGAGCCGGTTAAGAACTAAATTTCTTTCTTTGTTTTCGGCTTCCTTCCCTTTTTAATTTCTCTTGCTCTATTTCCTGCTTCTGACTGATATTTCCTTTCTAAGTTTCAGTTGGCATCATTTTTTCCTGAAGTGACCTTCTGGTATTCAATCAGGTATTCGTCGTATTTTTTCCAGTCTGTTTTCTTAATGGGTTTTCCTTTAGAATCCCTCAGGTGGAAAGTCAAAGTATCCATATCTCTTATTTCACTAACTTTAGTTACCCATTCTTTTTTGGATGGGATCTCCTTCCATTTCCACTTTTTTGCATAAACCATTCTGGCCGCTGTTACCAGGTATGTGAATAAAATTTATTTCTTCTGGTCAAGTTTGATGTCTTCGTCAGTTATCCCTACCCTAGAAGGAAGTATTCTGGCTTTTTCTGGATCTTTATCTCTAGTATTATTATTATTATTATTATTATTATTATTATTATTATTATTATTGCATTCTTTTTGGATCCCTTGCCAGTAGGTTCTTGCTTTGGTGCAATTCCACCATAGGTGATAAAAGGTGCCTCTATGTATTTCACATTTTCAGCACTTATTTTTGGCTTTTTTATACATCAGACCCAGTTTTTTGCGGTGTCATGTACCATCTGAAAAACATTTTAAACCAGTTTTCTTTCAGGTCTGTTGAATAGGTGTATCTAATCTATTTGAGCCAGATCTGTTACCATTCTTTGAATTTTATAGGTCTTCCTATATTGGCCGCCCATTTGGTCATGCACTCTTTCACTGTTTCAGTTTCTGTGGTCCATTGCAGAAGTAGATTGTAAATATGTTTTATATTTTTCTTTTCTTTTAGTATGATCTTATCCCAAAAATTGTCTTTCTCAGCAAAGCTGGAGTCTTTATCTTTATTAAAATATTATTTTAATTGAAAGTATTAAAGCCAGGAGAAGGTATTGAATTGTTGTGTTATTTTCTCTTTAGATCTTAGGTGGATGTACCCTCTTTCTTGATTAGAACATCTCAATAGGTGGGCCATTTTGACCAACCCAATAGTCTTCTATATCAGGGGTCCTCAAACTTTTTAAACAGAGGGCCAGGTCACAGTCCCTCAAACTGTTGGAGGGCCGGATTATGATTTTTTTTTTTTAAAAAAGAATGAATTCCTATGCACACTGCACATATCTTATTTGTAGTGCAAAAACCACTTTAAAACAATACAATAATTAAAATGAACAACAATTTAAACAAATATAAACTTATTAGTATTTCAATGGGAAGTGTGGGCCTGCTTTGGCTGATGAGATGGAATTGTTTTTTGTTGTTGTTGTTGTTGTTGTTGTGCGTTTTCGAGTCGTTTCAGACTTAAGTTGACCCTGAGCGAGGGTAAATGACCTTGGAGGGCCATATCTGGCCCCCGGGTCTTAGTTTGAGGACCCCTGTTCTATATCTTGCCTCCATCAGGAAAATTCACATTGGTATCTTAGTGAAGCTTTTGTTTATATTTTTCCCAGATCTTTATTAGTGCTGCCCTGATGAAATGATTTTTCTATCCTTGTCTGGCTATACCACAGATAGGAATGGCAACTGACCCTGAGGTCGTGGCCTTCTAAAGATAGTACTTTTTCCCTTTTTAGTTGTATCCAGTCTTTTATCCACAAGAGCCCATAATATAGACTCAGGTCTGGGAGACCGAGTCCTCCCCAAGATCTTATATAAGTTAAGTTTCAGAATTTGATCCTCGGTTTCTTCCCCTGCCATATGAATTTCGTTATATCTTTTTCCATTCCTCAAATAGCTTATAGTTTCTTAATACAGGTAAGTTCTGGAAGAGGAATAACATTTTGGGGAGGATTTTCATCTTAACGGTGGCTATCCTTCCCATTAGGGATAGGTTTAGATTATTCCACGTTTTAAGATCTTTTCTTTTATCTCTGACCATTTTCTTTTATAATTATTTTTATGAGTTGGGTGTTTTTTGCTGTTATTTGAATCCCTAAGTATTTTATTTTTTAAGATGTTTGAATGCCTATTTTTCTTTTAAACTTTTTTGGTTATATATATATATATATATATATATATATATTAGGCTTGGGTAACCACGGAAAAATTTGGTTCTAAACTCGTTTCATTTTTAGGGGGGCCCTTGCGTTTTGTTTTTTTTTAAAGAATTCAGAAATTTTCCTTTAATAAAGTTCAAAATATACGAAATTTTGTAAAATTACGAATCGATTCGTTAATGGTGGACACAATTGTGCAATATGCTAAAAAACCCTCCAAATGGGACAGGGGAAACTTCTGAAGCTTCCCTCTCCCTCTGTTGTTGACTGTTGGTGTGATGATTTACTTTTATCACTGATAAAACAAACAACAACTATAAAACTTGCACCAGACATACGGAAATAATTACAAAACAGTTTCGAAACAATTTCGAACCAATTACGAAACAATTACTAAACAATACGAAATAAATTGGAAAAATTGTTTCAATTTTTAATTACTCCTCACAGTAGTCCTGCATGGCTCAATATTGGATTGTAAGCTAATTTAAATACGAATTAATAATGAATTACGAAATTAACAAACGAAACCGCCCAAGCCTAATATATATATATATATTAGGCCTGTTTGATCAAGAAAAAAATTGTTTCTAAAATCGATTTGTAATTGGGGTGNTTTGGTGATGATACTTGTAGTATTCAATTGTGTTTAAGATTATTTGCATGTTTTCCCCTCTTTCTCTCTATTTCTCTCCCCTTTCCCTCCTCCACCCACCCCCAACCAAACCTGATTCTGTGTTTCTCTTTAGAAATTGATAAGTAATCGTCAAGCTATTGTGAAGGAGAAGAAAAAGAATATTGAGTCAAATAAAACAAGTACAGAAAAGGAAACCCAAGACATGTTTGTAAGTAAAAATGTTACGGGGGAAGAAAGACAAATTTAAACCAATGTGTGAAATAACATGATTTAATGGAAAATTCACATATATCAAAAACTACAATGCATCTTCATTTCACAAAACAATTCATTGTTATAGTAGAAGCCTTCATGAAGGTGATCATGAAGACCATTAAGGGTGCATCTATATTGTGTATTAATGCAGTGTAAAACATCTCTAACTACCATAGCTCAATGCTTTGGAATCAGGGAAGATTTTCAAAGTCCTCAGACTTTTCTGCCAAAAAATG